CAAGCTTACTCCTGATCCTGGATCTCCACCGGTTCTCCACAAAGCTATTGCCATCAGCAACAGGGAAGGCACAGGAAAGCACACAGAATTGCAAGCGGGATCCCTTCCTCTAAAGAGCTCTTCCTGCCCATGCTCCTTAAAGCTGTAACTTGCAGAGCCACAGTTCTGTCATCTTCAACCTCAAGATAAAATTCCCTCCAGTTTATCCACTTTGTATCATATTCTTGACTCCAGAAAGCCTCATTTCCCTCTCTGAGTGGGTTACAAAATCGGTTGTTGGGCAAGGAAATTAAGTTCCATGACAAACTGTCGGTGCTTCAGTTGACAGAGTTCTTCCCCTTTTTCTTGAGAGGCTGTGAGGAACCGAGATGATGATCTGGGGAATTCAGACCTGGTCAAATGGCTTTCTCCAAGACACTCAGGTATATCAACCCGGATGACCAGCCATTGTTTGAATTGCCACTTGTCCACATCTCTTAATTTGCTATTAAGGGGTTTGTGCATATCAAATGATAAATACCAAATGAAACAGAGGATTGAAACAGATGATAACTTCTTTGGCAGTCCAAAAAGCATTCCAGAAGAGGTAGCATTATGGCCCAGAGGGTGAGGATTGAGTTCTTGACACATGGTTCCTTGCTTTGGTCTGTTTTAGCCATTTGGGGAGTGAATCCGCAGATGGAAGATTTCTTTCTTTCTTTCTCAATCTCTTGCTCTCATTCTTTCACAGTCCTTCCCTTCTTCTCCCTATCCTTATATTGCTCCACCTTTCAGATAAATATATAAATCTTAAAAAAAAATATTTTTAAAAGGATCCCTGAAGTTTTCATGGGCTGGCAGGCAGGACACACCAAATGTAACAAAATGCAGCTCGTTAAATGGGATGAATGTAATGTTTTGAGGCAGATATTTTAAAAAGTCTTTCTAGGTTGGGATGAAGAAAACATGGTTTAGCAGCAGCAGGGCTTGATAAATAGGGTTTAAGCTAATTTTACTGTCAGTTGCTATAACATAGCAGTCAGAAAGAAGTTAATGCAGTGTTAATCCAGAAAATCCATAACAGGAGGCCAGAGATTTCCCACCCCCACTTCCAGGGCTCTGTAAACATTGACCACAGCTCAACACTGCCTAAGAGTCCCAGTTCTCAGAGTTCAGGACTCCCAATGGAAAAGAAGGGAGAAAATGGATTGCTGATTTCATATGGTTGCAGGGCTTCCATGAAAAGAACAGAAGCAACCTGTTCATCCAAGTCAAGATATATTTATTCATTTATTTACTTACTTATTTGTGCGACATAGCAAAGAGGGCGACGGATTCTTACCTGGGCATATCACACACAGAGCAGCCATAGGTGGCGCTTACAGTCTTACTAACTTGCTGCTACCTCCCAAGACAGGTGTAACTCTCATTCTGAGGCTGGGGAAGTGAGGGACTTGTCTTCTTGCAAGGCAGAACCCAGGCCAGTCCTTAGATCTCCCATCTTACCTTCAACAAACACAGTCGCAGCCTAAGGTGCCATCAGTGAGCCCACTACTCTGAACTTAGTCTCTTCAGCCCAGACAGAAACTCCTCACACACAAGCTCATCCATCTCTAGCTGTGCAGCACTGAAAGCAATGCAGGCTGTTGATATAACAAAATGTGTCACATGGCTATCTGGGGTTTCACTAAGGCATCTCTTAGGAGATACTTAGTAAGCAATAGGAAATGGTCATTAAAAGAAAACCCAAGTGCTTTTTTTTTTTTAAATTAAAAAGCATTAACATGGGTCTAACAGCACAGGTGCTGTCCCCTGCTTCTAGTGCCACCTTCAAATTAACAAAAACATCCCTTTGAACAAGCTTCCCCGCCTGCTAACCTCCAATCTGTCAGTTTTTGCAAATCCAGTATACACCACAAATTTGCTTGATGTAAACAGACACCCAAACCATCACCTATGCAACTACTCTCCCATCTGTAGCCTGCAGCCATCAGCTTCCCCCTCACTGTAAACTGGGTAAAACAACAGCTTAGATGTCCCATCAAGCAAACAGAATGCCACCTGTATATGCTAAGACTTGGAAAAAGTAAAAATAGGTGGAAAAATCCTGAGTAATTAAAAATGACAATTAAACAACCTTCAGGAACTGCTACAGGCTCATCCAACAAGCCAAGAACCGAAAAGAAAAATAAAATCCTATGCTTAAGGGCTTGAAATAAAACTCGTATCACTGCCAATTAGTTCAGAACTGTCTTTCTGAAGACAGGCTGGTTCAATAGGAAACCACTATGTGCTGGTCTGGTTGCTCAGTGTTGGAAAACATATCCCACATATTAAGGGGGAGGGATGTGAATCTTTCAGTAGTGATGTTCATAGCTGTACTATTTATAATAGTGACATTATGAAAGCCAGAACAAAAAGCTCAGGGAAGTGCACAGGGAGAAATTTAAGCAACACCCCTAATGGTGATGACAAAAATATGAGTAGTAGTACACGAGATGCATATAGAATGTGTTAAGTGACAAAGACCAGGATTTACATACTGATTAAAACTACATAAAACACATCTACATTTAGAAATGCGGTTAGCAAATCTTAAGTTCTTTAAATGCTATATTGTTTAAATATATAAGAGAATATGTAAAGTTGATTACACAAGGATAAAAGTTGATCCTGGGGGCCAGTGTTGTGGTGTAAAGTTGCCACCCGTGGTGCCAGTATTCCATATGGATGCCGGTTCTAGACCCACCTGTTCTAGTTCAGATCCAGCACCCTACTAGTGTGCCTAGAAAAGCAACAGAAGATGAATCAAGTGTTTAGGACCCTGTATGTGGGAGACTTAGATGAAGCTCTGGACTCCTAGCTTCGGCCTGGCCCAGCCATTTAGGAAATAAACCAGCAGGTAGAAGATATTCTCTCTCTCTCTCTTTCCCTCTCATGTAACTCTGCTTTTCCAATACATACATAAAACTTTTAAAAACAACTTGGTCCTCTTCTCTGGCTCTGCTTTGAGTACCTCTCACAGTCTTATGTACTCTCCATTTAGCCAACAGAGCTCAAGGAGAGATCTCAGAAAGTAACCCTAAATGTTTCCTTTCTGAATCCTACCCGAAATCAGGATTGGAATAAACAGAGCAGAGAAGCTCTTCAATGAAATCTGGCAACAAAGAAGCCTAGAACAACAGAAATTACTTTTAATTCTTAACTCACCTTCAGAAGCAAATAGTAGTCTGACAATGCATTGAGGGTCCTTTCCTCTCCATCCCTGAGACCTGGAACATGTGTCTCCTTCTGTCTTCCTTCAAGCTCACCAAACAGATTATTTCTGAGAGATAACCTGGAGGACCTCCCCAGCCCAGGGCTGAGCGAGCACTTCCCATGTATGGCAAACACACTCAAGCCTGACAACCAAAGGTAGCTACCATGGTCCCTTATCTCATGAATAACTGAAGCTGACCAACGTAAGTTCCTAACGGCCATGCAGAAGTACAGAGCATAATCATGATCTGAATGGTGGCCGAGGACTCCAAGTATGGGCTCTGCAGTGCACTCCCTATGGTAATGGCAAATCTGACCACCACCAAGAGTCCAGGTCTGCCAATGGAAGTGGCCTCATCCCACAGCTTCTCCTGGAGTAACATCCTCTGGGATTCTGGATTCTAATTGTGAGAAACAAGACTGTCAGCCCCAAAATATAACCTCAAACAGCATGTGGTCCATGAGCTCGTCCCTTGTCTATCTATAGTCTGACATCAGCAGCATATAATATTCATCTCCAAGCCTTGGTACCCCACCCTACTGGATAGAGATATTTGGATAGGGCCTAGCCTTCTGCATTTTAAAAATAATATTCTATGTGACTGTCGGTTTTTTCAAATTTTACATTTAAATTGTGCATAAGGCATGCACAAGCATGGTTTTGATATATATATAATCAACCAATTTCTGTAGTCAAGATAATTAGCATCAATCTTTTCACACAATTGTTATTTTTGTGTTTTTATGGTGAGAACATTTAAGAGCTGCTTCCAGTGAATCTCAAAAATACAAGAGTGTGATTAATTGTAGTCTTCATGTAGATTTCTATATCATACATTCTACATCACAAATACATTCTGGAGAGCAAATGTACAGCATGAAGATTATAGTCATAGATGTAATGTGCATATGTCGGTATTCTGGCCAATGTCTCCCCTTCATTCCCTCTCCAACATTCCAGATCATACGACACTTGCCCAGAGAGGGTTAGGAGCTGCTAGTTTGGCCCAAGTCTCCCTAAAGGGAACTAAATTCAAACTGAGCAACTCTCAGTTGAACCAGGCCTCCCAATTACCAGGCTGCCCACTTCCCACTCACCATTACTGACACCATTACTGAATTTGGAACAGGAGTTTTTTTCTGGTTAGAAAAAGGAAATCAAAGACAAGGAGAAAAACTCAACTGAAAATTTCCTTAGCCTGAAGGGTTGCAAAATCTCATTGTAAAAAGGAATATGGGGAAAAAGCCTTCAGACCCAAAGTCAGGGCTGAACAGGGAGAGAACTGACCATTGATTCTAAGGAGAGGTGACAGTTTGTAAAGCAAGACCCTGAGAATGGCAGTTTAGGTGACAGGAAGCTTAGCAAGCAGCCATCTAAAAAAATAATAATAACACCACGGTGCTTTCCCCAGGGTACATTCTCACCAGGTGCGAATTCTCTCATTAATGGACTTCTATCTTTCCCACACACAGTTCATATAAACACCGGGCACAGTCAACTGAAATCAAATATAAACTCCAAAGATCATATGCATAATCATTACACACAAAGTGGTTTCTTGGTTACAACTGAGCTGGATACTGAGAGGAAATAGAGAAAACCATCATAGCAGAAAGGAAACGACATTTTCCCTTTTAATGTTGGCTTGGTTTCAGTGACAAATACTTTTAAAGAATCACTTTGGCTTCCTCTTCAGACACATTTCCACCCAAGCCTGGAAGTAAGGAGGCTCCTCAACTACTTGTGGACCCCAAGCACTTACAGTCTCTTCGTAGTCACACTGAGTGTGAATGCTCCGATTGTCTCCAGAAAAATCACAGATGCAGCTCCCCCAACGTCAGGTCAGAGTCTATGTTTGGCATAACGGTCCCCAGCCTTCTAACTCTTCTTTCATTGAGGCTGAGGTTTCCGAGGCGCACAGGAAGTCAGAAGAAAGAACAGAAACTCACTTCACTGCAGGCGGGAGTGGGCAGAACAGAGAGAAGCTAAAGGCACTGTGCTGGTCCCTTCCCAGCAGGGCTCAGGCAGGAAGTGGGCAAGAAGGAGCTGGGCAGGGACAAGCAGAAGTGAACGTGAGGGAGGTATGAGGGTCAGGCCTACATCCAGGTTTTCTGGAGTTCCAAAAGGAACCAAATTCTACTACTGCTCTGCTGGGAATGTTCTGGCTTCCTTGTGGGCACACACAGGCACGTATACACGCACAATCATAGACGCTTAGGACACTGCTTTCTTTGGAATCATATCCAACTCAAACCTCAGAAAGACTCAAGTGACTTGACAAAATACCACTTGGAAAGATATTTGTCTAGATCTACAGTTTACTTATTCAGAAAATGAAGGCATTAGGTGAGGAGAACATTTTTCCAACAGAGTCCAGAGCAGGAATATTTCAAACTACTTAAAGTAATGGCTCAGTTCCTTGAGGTGGCTTAATTTTTCATTATCTGGTTGAAAATTAATCAATATTTGCAGAATCCTTAAAATGAGCTGCAAGGACCCCAGAGTCCTTAAAGTCCAGTTTAAAACTTTTTAAAAGCACCTATCTATTTAGTTATTTTAAAGGCAGATACAGAAAGAAACACAGAGAAAGAAAGCTCCTAAAAGCTCCTCAAATTCTTGAAACAGCCAGGAGTGGACCAGGCCAAATCCAAGAGCTAGAAACTCAATTCAGATCTTCCAGAAGGGTGACAGGGACCCAAACACTTGAGCCATCGCTGTTATCTCCCAGCATAGGCACAAGCAGGAAGATGGAATTGAAAGTGGAACTAGAACTTTAATCCAGGCAATCTGATATGGAATGCAGGCACTACTGTGCAAATCCAGACTAGATTAGTGACGGATATGGTCTAAAAATCTGGCAGTAAGATCCCAGAACTTGGTTATGAGGGAGAAATCAGAGCTAAGGGGAGAGGGGTGGAAATGCTTAGAGGAAGGAAAGTCATTAAGAAAAAAAGAGAAAGTTGAAAGAGACAAGAGATTGAAATCTTGGTAAAGAGGATAAGATTAAGCCAAAAGGGAATTATATAGGTGATTTAGTCTTCTGTTGTTTTAGAGATAAGGAAACTGCAGCCAGACATGTTGAGTGCACAAAGCTGAAATCTTGGCTGTGGGGAGGAGCACCTCAGAATGCTCAACCATGAAAGCATTCATGCTAATACTTTCTCACTTAAAAATGAATGAAAATTAAAAATCCCCAACCATCAAGTCTGGTTCACAATCACAGATCCTCAGAATCCATCTGGTTCCTTTGAGATTCTACACAAACATTTTGGTGATAGAGACCCATTGTATCAACAACCCATCCACTGCTAGACCCATTTTCAGGGATAGAGACCTTCCCTGTGCTGTGTTCAAGGGATGGTCTTCCAGCCTCACCCCAGCCCCCTGCAGGTGCAGCTTGGCCTCCAGAGCCACCAGTGTGAGCAGCACCCTCCTCACCCTTGCTTGGCATGGCCAGCCTCTGCTTCTATGCACAGGATTGAAGAGAAACATGATGGTTTGACTGGGAGGGCCTGACATCAAGAAGTCTGTAGGAGTTGGTTTAGATGAAGTGTGCAGACATTAGTGATGGTAACTGAAAGTCTTTCAAGGCTACTTCCAGCGAGGGCAGTAACACCAGGGTGAAAATAGCAGGTTGGGCGAGCACACTGGTCCTGAACCTGCCCTGCAGCCCCTACTTTCTAAATCTTAGGATTGTGGAGCTGAATGGGATTTCAAGGTCATGCACTCCTGGGCCTTCTTTAAGATTTTGCATTCCATACATGTGACTCCTGAGACTCCTGCAGATGATCAGTTCTCTTGGGAACCTGGTCCCCGCTAATCTTGTGCTAAGGTAACAACCACGGCCCCCTTTGTCCCCACAGCACCGTCTGAGCAGACTAACCTCCCACTCTTGGGTTCTATTCTAAGCTGTCAACATCACCATCATTTGTCAAGTGCCTAATGGCATGGCTGAGTGCCAGGGAAGGGAAGAAGGAATCCAGAACACAGGCTGTCCTGCTTGCTGCCGCAGCCCACAGCCCTTCTGGGAACAAACAGGTTGTGCCGGCAGAATACCGAGCCAGGCATGAATGGACACGGTGCACTTCTCATATACAGCTGAGTACATCAGTTTATAACTGGGAGAGGCCTGCTGAGCCCCAGAAGGCAGGAAGTCTGGGTTCTGGTTCTCAGCCTTCTACCACTTAGTAGCTAAAGATATAATTATGTTTCTCTAGTCCTCTGCTGCAGTGCATTGGTACTCGTTCACCCAAATAATCAGAATATTGCAGGATTTAGCATTAAAAGAGGTCTCAGGGGGCATGGCACAGTGGCCTGGCGGCTAAAGTTCTCACCTTGAATGCACCGGATCCCATATGGGTGCTGGTTCTAATCCCGGCAGCCCCGCTTCCTATCCAACTCCCTGCTCGTGGCCTGGTAAAGCAGTCGAGAAAGCCCAAAACCTTGAGACCCTGTAACCACATGGGAAACCTGGAGGAAGTTCCTAGCTCCTGGCTTCAGATCGGTGCAGCACTGGCCTTTGTGCTCACTTGGTGAGTGAATCATTGGATGGAGGATCTTCCTCTCTGTCTCCCCTTCTCTCTGTATATCTGACTTTGCAATAAAAATAAATGAATCTTAAAAAAAAAAAGAAGAAGGTCTCAGAGATTATCTAGTCTGATGGTTTCTAGAACCTTGGTCCTCAGGAGGAAATCATTAGAAACACAGATGGTCTACCCAGACTCACCTGACAGAATAGGGCAATGCCATCTTTATTTAATAGAAATGCTAGATGACAATTGGTAAGGCTGACACCAGAGAGGGAACATCAGCTGACTCAGGGCAAGGCTCAGATCAGACTGAGATCTTATTCTGGGATGATTCATGCCTCCAAAACCAGGGGAATCAAGAGTTCATACATGTCCTGGATAGGGTAGAGGAAATCAGAGGAGTCCTGCTGGCCTGTAAAAGATGGCACTACTGCCCCCATCATGCTGCTGCCCAAGGGAATTCATGGACAGAGGCATTTCTGAGTGTATGTTATCCTAATATTCAAGGATTCACCAATAAAGACACCTGGTCTGCATGCTTCAGCCCCTTTCAAATTCATGGAATGGTAGATAAACATTAAGTTCCAGACCCTGCTTTGCAAATTAACCTTGTGACTGGTCATGACTGATAGGATTATTTGGAAACAGGGCCCCTCTATTCAAACAGGGAATAACACTGGACTCTGGTCACTTCTGGCTGTACGTGCTATTGGATTCATAGCATCTCAGGCCCAGGAAGCAGCAGAGACATCACTTGATCCAGTGCTTCTCTCCTGGAGAGCTTGGAGAAGCTGATACCCTCAGTCCTTGTGGCATGTGGGTAAGGTCCTACAATAACCAAGTTCTCTAGTTTCTGTATCTGACATGTTAACATCTGGAACCTTGATGGCCCTGCAGGGAATACTCCTTTGATGGTTAGTCAGTTCTCAATAACCTGACATCCACGTGCTAACCAACCAAGCCATAGATCAAATCCCAGTGCCTTCATTTATCAACTTCCATAAGCTGGGACACTCTCTACTTGTCCTAACCACACAGGAATCAACTCATCCTACCTGTTTCTCTCCATTGAAAACACAACAAAGACTCCAACTCATAGTTTCTCTCACTTCCTCTGCTTCCTGGCCCGTCATGGTGCTTTTCCCTTGTTGCCCTCATTGCGTGCAGGGATTCGTGTAAGTTTAAACTTCTTCTTTTGTGGTGGTCACCCCTACATCTGCATATCATACATACTTAATTAGCACAGGGCCCAGCTGGTCTTAGAACAGGTTGGTCATTCTCTGAATCTGTGGGTGTAAATACACTCCCCTTTGGGCTTCCAAGTCCCTTTGAGCCTACCACTTATGCACTGGGCAAATATTTTCATTTTTTACATGTATCTTTCATGAAAAAAAAATTTGGAATTCTCAATCCAGCAACCTCAGGTTTAACAAGTGATCACTGTTTGTAGTCCCTGTTGCCTGCCACTCAGCCAAGTACTGCTTGATGCCCAATCTTTTCTATTTCCAGGAGTTTTGCTTGTGCAAACCTGCCTCACACAGCTGGTGGGCCTCTGAAAGGACTTTTGCTTGCTGGGATCCACAGAACTGGCTCAATCCCTCTTCAGCATGACCACCCTTCAGCTTCGTAAAAGCAGCATCTCTGGACTCCTGGGAAGTCTTTCTTCTGCCACCTACACATCCTCCCATTTGCTTCATTGTGCTCAGGCAGTGAGCGGCATATTTTCCACTTTTATGTGATGCTAGAAGATTCTACCCTTCAGAGCTGTTTCTCAGAGTATTTCTTGGTTCAAGACTCAATGAGGAGAAAAGACTCTGCTCTGAAAATATGGCAGCCTCTAAATAGCAACATCAAGCTTCTCATGGGAGCTTTAATGTGAAATCTCTAGTTTTTAAATATTGGCACAGATTTACAAAACATGAATGCAAGGAAGACTGTCAGTCCTCTTGCAACTCCAGCCGAAGGCCAATCCCTTCAGTTGTTTGACTTTTCCCTAGTCGTAGAGGACAGTTTCCCACCACCTCCAAGGGTCCCTTCCCAAAAAGAGGATTGCAGTCACGGAAGGACACTTGAAACAGCAATCTTTCGTACAAGCTTATGAGAGGCCTAGTGCATCAGACAGTGGGTGTGTACACTGAGCTCAGCCTCCCACTGCCTTCTTTGCTCTGTTCTCCCAAAGAGAAAACACAGCACATTGTCAACATGGCTTTTCCACTGGGGTCAAAGGGACCCACCCTGAGACTTAAGCCAGGGTTTTTTTTCTCCTTAAGTGGCAACAATGGTCACACACATGAGTGTTACTGCTCAGACCTGGCTAATGGAGGCCAGGCCAACAGGACCTGGTTCCTAGGCCAGCAGAGCAGGGTTGGTGTGGATTCAGTGGTCAGTTTGTCAAGTGATTGTGGAGGCCTGACCTAAATATCACCACTCTCGGAAGAAGCTGAAAATGCAGACTTTCAAGGTTAACATTTTAATTTAGTAAATGCTGGCACAGACTTGCAAAACACAATATTAACTAATATGTATATCTGGGTCAAGCCCCACGCCACTAGTTTGCATCTTCTGTTCTAGTCTGAACCAGGATTATCTTCCCTTCAAGAAGGGACATCACTCAGCACAAGCCAGATGTCCAGCTTTTTCTCCAAGGGCTTTCTCTGTTGCTTTCCTCCAACCACTCCAACCATGAGGTTTAACGCTGCACATCAATTTGACTGTCTATAAGGTACCATGATACTTGACCAACAGGATTCTGGATAGATTTTTAAGGGTACGTTTGGATGCGTTTGGCATTTTGATTGTGGACTGAGTAAAGTGGCCTCATCCAATCGGCTGGAGACCTGAATAGAATAAAGTCTGTCCTTCTGTTCCTGTTCAGCTAGGACACTGGTTTTCTCCTTTCCCCCGAAACAAACTGGAACTGGTGTTCAGCCAGCCGGCTTCAGCTCCCTGAGATCTCCAGCTAGCAGACTGCAAGTCTCAGACTTGCCGACCTCCACAACTGCATGAACCAATTCTTTGTAATAAGCCTCTGCCTATACACATATTCACCTCTGGTTCATTCTGGTTCTTAGGGCAATTCTGATACCATCTCCTTAGCCAGAAGTTAGCTGCAACTGAACATTTGATCAGGTGAAATATATTTTCTGGTCATGACCTAGTCACCA